TGGACGGGTTTGACGCGTTTTTCCTATTTTTTCGGTATTTTCGACCTATTTCGACTAGGAGTCGACCCCAACTATTTAAGAGGCACTTAGACACGTTTTTGGGGAGCCTTGGACATATTTTCAGATCTTGGGAGACCTTTGGAGGATAGAAACACGAGCAAGACGAGGGAGAAAGCCGGGAAGAAAGGATCGACGGAGCCGAATAAGCTTTTTCTTTCTTTTTTCTTTTCCTCTTTCGAACTCAATCTTTTATATCTATTTTTCTTATTTTGAAAACATGTTTCTAGGCTAGATTTATCTTAGATTCTAGGATTTGTTAGTACCCGGATTGATTTATGATGTAGTTTTTATTTATTTCATTCCGGTTTATCTTTCGTTTATAAATTTCTTGTGTTTATTATTATTGTGTGAGTAGATGACCACTATGAATGCATATTTGTAATTGATTTGAGACCGAGAGGAGATAATTGATTGCTAGAATTGGGAGATTTATAACGTAAGAGAATAAATAGACCGAGAGGTTGATAGGATCTTGCGAGAGAATGAAAATCCTAGGAACTTATGGGAGTTAGTTGTTCATCTTGAGACCGAGAGGAGATAGATAACAATTAATATCTACGATTTAACTTGTTCGAGAGAAAGGTTTGAAATCAATTTAGCGATTATCTCTACGATTGGTAAAATTAAATAAGGTTTGTTTGAATATAAACGTTTCATGAATTAATTCCGAGGAAAGCATAACCTAGAATCTACCTTTTATATCTTATTTATTTTTATTTGTTTAGATAAATTAGTTTTTAGTTTAATTCTTAGTTTATAATCATCATTCAATTCACTAGTCTAGATAATATTTAATCGTCGTTATTTTAGTTCTTAATTAATTTAACTACAATCTCTGTGGAATACGACCTTGCTCGCCACTACCTATAGTTACTCCGTACACTTGCGGATAGCGAAAATAATTAGCGAACATGTATTGCTCAAACCAAACGGCGTCACTACAAATTCGTAGTGACCATACCTAGTTCAGAACGCGGTCTTTGATACATCAGACTCCTTAATCTTCAGCTGGTGGTAGCCAGACCTCAAACCGATCTTCGAGAATACACTGGCTCTCATAAGTTGGTCGAATAGGTCCTCAATTCATGGTAACGGGTATTTGTCTTCACCGTCAGATTATTGAGACCATGATAATCAATACACGTCCGCTTGATTATCACGTCTGCATAGACCCGTCCTTCTTCTTTTCGATAGCACCAGCGCTCCACACAGTGAAACACTCGGTCGGATAAAACTGAGGTTCAACATCTCCTGGATCTGCGTCTTGAGCTCCTGCAGCTCCTTCGGAGCCATCCTATAAGGTGGCTTCGAGACTGGACCCGCTCCCAGTACCAAGTTGATAGTGAACTCGACTTGTTTATCCAGCAGCCCCTCCTGCAATTGCTCCGGAAACACGTCGACATACTCTCGGACAATTGACACACCCTCCGATGATGGCTTCTTTGTCTCGCTTCCGACGATATTCACCAAGTAGCCTTGGAAACCGCCCTTCGTTAAACTCCTCATCGCCTTCAGTGACTAGATGACTCTAGGTACTGTCCTCAACTTCGCTATGTAAAACGTGATCTGCTCTACTTTGGCCAGGTGAAGAGGTACCTCGCGCTCCATGCATCGGATGTCAGCTCGATACTTGGTCAACCAATCCATATCGAGTATGATGTCAAAGTCTCTCATTTCGATGATATATAGTCTCTTCCTATCTAGATAAATACTATTGGGGAAAATTTCAAAATTGGTCCTATAATTTGGCCACTGTCCAAAAAACCACCCCGATATTGACCACTTTCAATTTAGGTCCTATAATTTGTCGATTTCATCAATTTTGGTCCTTTCTTATCCGCACCCTGGATTAAAAAGTGACGTGGCATGAAAAAAGGACCAAAATTGATGAAATCGACAAATTATAGGAGCAAAATTGACGTGCCACGTAGATCATAATCACGCCATGTAACATTGAAAAACTAACACATCATGTCACGTCACTTTGTAATCCAGGGGCGGATAAAAAAGGACCAAAATTGATGAAATCGACAAATTATATGACCTAAATTGAAAGTGGTCAATATTGTGGTGGTTTTTTGGACAGTGGTCAAATTATAGGACCAATTTTTAAATTTTGCCAATACTATTGTAATTGATTAAGAGCTCTTATGTTTTGTTTTATGAAAAACTAGTTTTTGAAAACAAAAACACGTTGTGACATTAGCAGCCGAATATGTTTAGTTGTGTCAATATATTTTAAAATTTTNAAAAAATAAATAAATAAAATAAAATAAAAAAAAAAAAAGAAGAAGAAGAAAAAGACGACGACGACCCAGAACATGTTTTTCAAATTGCATATAATATGGTTTCTAGGTGAAATGTTTTATGCCATTGTAGGTAATTTATAACTTTATACACATCGTTTTCAAAAAAGTACTTTTATTTTTATTTTTCATTTGTATGGTCAGTCGGGTTACCTAATTGTGCCTAGGCATAATATATGGGCTTAAATTAACTCTACATTAGTAATAATATTTCATATTTTGCTCATGCTGATTTTATATTAATATTGTAAATGTGCATATATAAAATTACGTCGTATGGTATGATACTGATTATAAATAAAATAATTCTAGTAGATAAATTATATATTTATACAAGGTTTATGTAAGATTATACTTATATTAATAAGTTGATAGATATGAATAAACAATTTACTTACAGTTACTTGTTTCCAACATAAAATGAATATAACAATATAAAAACAATTATTAAATATATATATATATATATATTAGAATAATATAAACATTAACATAATATGAAGAATATAAAACTAATATGAAAATTGAATCTGATTTTTCCTAATATAATAAAAGTACGGAATGATAATATTATTTTTTCAACTCTCATTCATTTATCGTACCAATTATGTCAATGGTAAAATATCAATATATATAAGGGTATTAGAATAATGACTAGCAATATGAATCACCCCAAAAAGATTATGAGAATGTGATTTCAAAGATATATACGATCAAGGTTTGCACCCACGATTTCCAAGTTATAATGATCGATTTTGAGTAATTAGGGTATGTTTGGAAGAATTTTTTAGATGGTAACTATAAGAGCATCTTCAATATTACGATTTTGAAAGATAATGATTTATAACACATTTTAATTAATGATATTAATATTAATCAACATATGAATAATATTAAAAGGCTAAAAATTTAAATCAAGCTAGTATTTGCAATTCAGTTTTACAATGGAGTCATCGGATGACTCGACTTATGGAGTCATTCATAGTTATTCACAAATGATGTATTGACACGTCTCCTGTAATAAATACACATTGAACATGTGTCAATACATAAAGTGATGGATGGCTCCATAAGGGAGCCATCCGATGGTTCCATAGAATTTCTGATCTCCAATGAATCAATTTAATAAAAAGTTATTTGTATAAGTGGACCAATTAAAATAAATCATTTATACCATAGTTTTTAAACCCGGCTCGGTGATCGACCCGGGCAGGTCCTCGGGTCACCGGGTCACCGGTTCAACCGTCGGGTCACCGGGTCAATTGTTGAACCGGATAATAAATTTTAAAATTTTTAAAATTATATATATAGTATTTTTGTTATATAAATATACATAAAAGTAACAAAATTAAATGTTTTTTGTATAAAATTTGTATATTAAAGTGTTAATAATATGTATCTCATGATAAATATTTACCATAAAAATATATATACATAGTTTTATTTTTAAAAAATATAAAAAATATAAAAAATATATATGGACCGGGTCTCGGCCGGGTCGGCCGGGTTTTGACCGGGTCCTTGGTTGCCCGGTCCAAATACTCCACCCGGACCGGTTCCAGTTCCGGGTCGACCGGGTCCAGGGTCGACCCGCCGGGCCGGTCCGGGTCACAAAACAGTGATTTATACAAGAAGAATAAAAAAAATTAAACCAGACATAAAGCGAATGGATGAGTCATCATCTTTATTGTTTAACATGATATTAAAAAGTGAACTCAATATTGTGAACATTTTTATCATCCAACTCATGAGATAGCTAATGACGAGATACATTACAAAATAAATTAGCAACACATTCAAAAGTTGATGATATAAATCATTCTTTATAATGTTTCCTAAACAAAAATATGTTTTGTGTAAATAACCAAATAAACAACAACAACAACAACATAGCTTTTTAGTCTCAAGTAAGTTGAGGTAGGCTAGAGATGAAACCCAAGAGAACCAATGATAAGAGAAACACAAAAATGGCTCAAAAAAGACTCAAAACAAAAAGCCAATTAAAACAAAAAGGGCTCAAAACAAAATAAAATTTTAAAAAAATAATACGGACAAAAAGCCAATTAAAAAAAGTTTATAATGAACCCTTCTTAAAAAGGTAATAACTGGTTGGATTAATTAGTCTTTATTTAATGGGAGTGCCTTTAGGACAACGTATTTGTTCAAACCGTTTTAGATATTTTGGTAAAAACAACGTCTTCTAGTTCCAGATAGATGACCCGAATAACTAAAACGACTCTTGAATTTTACTACTAGACAAGGCGTATAATAATAAATTATAATGTTTTGAAAATTGAATTTGTCAAAAGTAAAGTTTTAAATTCAATGGTTAGTAGGTTGTGTCAAACTTTTGATGATTTATATATATTATGAAAGAAGATACCACTTTTTTATTTTTCAAATATCAAATTCATGATTCAAAAATGTCAAAAGAAAACAACAAAATAATTAAATTAACAGTGAAAGTAGATTTTAGACATGACTATCTTTACAATAGAAAACATGAAGACTTATTTAGTTACACTGTACATTACAAACACAGGTATTATTATTTAAAATTACAAGATAGGACAAACCATATAATTAATATCATATATATATATATATATATTGTTTGTTTTGAGGAGATTTGAAATGCAGAAGAAAGATGGTGCCGCAGAGATGTGTATGTATAGTGATTATTTTTTTGGTCGCAACAAACATTTATAATGTGGATGGGCAGTCGCGGCCACCATATCGGATTCTCTTGGATACAGATGTCGACGTCGATGATTTGCTGGCAATTTTGTACATTTTGAAGCTTGATAGATCAATATATGATTTGGTGGTAAGTACTTCAAATGAAAGAAAAAAACAACAAAAAGTTCATCATAACTTTTGAAAATCCAAATGCCAAAAACTACTTTATAACAAAATTCCAAAATTGAAATGCAATTTAGGGTTTGGGATGTAAGATAGAAGTAA